AGTGTTCCCACAGTGTTCACATAGTGTTCCCACAGTGTTCCCACAGTGTTCCCACAGTGTTCACATAGTGTTCCCACAGTGTTCCCGCAGTGTTCCCATAGTGTTCCCATAGTGTTCCCACAGTGTTCCCACAGTGTTCCCACAGTGTTCCCATAGTGTTCCCATAGTGTTCCCACAGTGTTCACATAGTGTTCCCACAGTGTTTCCACAGTGTTCACATAGTGTTCCCACAGTGTTCCCGCAGTGTTCCCATAGTGTTCCCTTCCAAACTGGCAGATGTACAAACATCCAGAATGACCACACACTGATATCTGTGAGTTAGGAGATGCTGAGCATTGTGTATTGTCCTAATTATGATGAGTTATGTATACCTGTGTTTAATGGAATTGTCTGGGTTTATTAATGACGACAGAATAAAACAGTGTTTTAGGGTTACAGTACATATACGTATATGTATGTTTTTATAGATGTTCCAAAAATGTAACAAATACAGACAAAATGTAAGGTTTTCTTCTGAAAAGAAGGCAGCTGTAACGATTCACTGTCTGAGCTTGTTTGTCTGATGGTTTCTGTGCAACCTGACTGTGGAGCTGCAGCTTTCACGAGTAACTGAAGGATTTAAACCAGGAAAGTGAAGCCAAAAAAGAGAATTCAGAACATGTCCAGCTGTGTTTGTGAAAAAAGAACGTTTTGGATGCCAAAACAATGTTCTTATGCCTCACACTGACCTGTTCATACACACACTGTATGAACTGTAACATATAACTAGCTATTTTTGTGCGTCCTAGGTATGGTTCAAGAACCGGCGTGCCAAGTGGAGAAAGCGCGAGAGGAACCAGCAGGCAGAGTTATGCAAAAATGGCTTCGGTGCCCAATTCAATGGACTCATGCAGCCCTATGATGACATGTACACGGGTTATTCCTACAACAACTGGGCCACCAAGAGCCTAGCAGCAAGCAGCCCACTCTCTGCCAAGAGCTTCCCATTCTTTAACTCAATGAATGTAAGCCCCCTGTCATCCCAGCCCATGTTCTCCCCACCAAGCACCATCCCCTCCATGAACATGGCCTCTAGCATGGTGCCCACAGCAGTAGCTGGAGTTCCTGCTACGAGCCTCAACAACCTGGGCAATCTCAACAACCTCAACAGTCCCTCAGCACTCAACTCGGTAGCAGTGACCGCAGCCACCTGCCCCTACGCCACCACAGCCAGTCCCTACATGTACAGAGACACCTGTAACTCCAGTCTGGCCAGCCTGCGGCTCAAGGCCAAGCAGCACACCAATTTCGCCTATCCAGCAGTGCAGAACCCCGTGTCCAACTTGAGCCCCTGTCAATATGCTGTGGACCGGCCAGTATGAACTAGAAACTCTGACTCAGTCAACCAGCTGTAAACTCACTGCTACCCCACTTCACATCTCCTTAGTTCCATCTGTAACGTGGCCGATGCACAGCAGACTGCCAGCTTGTGTGTTCATGGTACACAATAAGAGTTATCTCCACAACTGACACAACAAATAGACGTGTTCAGATGGACCACTGCGCTTTGTCGCTGAACTGACCAACTGCTTCAAATGATTTTTAAATATTATTGTTCCTTTTCATTTTTGCCTTCTTTTGAACTGCATGATTAGAATAAATGTAGAAACCAAGGCTAAAGAAAACAAAGATGCTGCAACTGGACTGCTGCTGGCCCACAAAACCCTTTGAGCTGCAGTCTTCGCTGCAAAGACAACTGGAAGATGTATATAGTTGAATTTTTCTGTTTGTTTTGTATGTGAAAAATACATCAAATGTAGTACGGATGACAGGAGCATGTTCTACAAATACAAAGGCCTAGTTTGATGTTCTATGAGCACATTCTTTAAGAACTTTATTGTGAATTCCTCGACCGTTGAAGGATCATAGGTCAAAGGTCGGCTTGGAGAGGTGACAGGTTAGTCCTGAAATACGAGCACAACCTCGAATTAAAACAAACAAACACACACACATGCACCAGAATGAGCAAGAAGTTTCAAGTAAATATAAAAAGCCATTGAGTATATAGATTTGTGTGGTGTTATACAAAGAAAGTCCATGACTGTAAACATGTATGTAAGAGTGCAGTTGTTATAACAAAAAACCAAACAAAAAACAAGCGAGCTTTCTTCCTGGTGTAGCCTGCTTTGTCTCATTCATGAACCAATTAAAGGATCCGATTCTATGAACCGTGGAGAGCATCTATCACTCCGTTTCTCTCATTTCAAAGACGTGACACGAACTAAAACATGCTGTTCTCAAAGCAATGTGCATGATGTGATGGAAACAGACTCACCTCAGCAGCAAGTAGCAGGCTGGAAGAGAGTTCGATGGGAAATAGTGCTCACTGATATGTTTGACCTACAGTGTGAGTGGTGTCCACAGGAGATCCAGTAACGCTGAGAGAATTCACAGAGACGCTGCCAGTATTATATAAAGGCTTTGAGGAGCAGGGTGTCCCAGCAAAGTCAGAAACAAGGAGTTTGCATCAACATTTCCACTGCTGTTCCCTTTATCGGACTCATTCAGCTTTAAACCACAGGGTGACTTTATCTCGAGTGGGTTTTAACACTGAAGCACTGTGAAACTCCCAGAATTAATATGGAGAGTATGAAGAAAATGAAGACACTTAAAAAAATCATTTTATATAAAAATTAAACAAAAATCTTAATATTCCTTTGATTATGGACCGTGAGGCAAATACAGAGTTTAAAGAAAAATCTCTATGAATATGTTTAGATCTTCTAACACAATTTTCAGCATGTTTTTGTGACACAAAGTCAGAAGCCATAAACAAAAAGCAACAATCAAATGCCACACGTTTACAGTAGGAGCCTTTTACCTTTTCAGTGCTTTTCTCTCCATCACTTTTAAGACAGTTTTTACTCAGAAGACTTACCAGATGAGCGTGCTTTGGAACAATGGAGAAGAAGATTTAATGTGAAGCATCGTGGATGTTTGAAGCTTGTTACCAGCTCACGGTTAAGCTAAATCAGGCCTCAGAGACCAGGGTGGGGCTGGAAAACAAGATGTTAGAGGGGCAAATATTTCTTCTTATCCATATTTAAACACTTATTGAATTACCAATGGCTGAACTTAATGCACGCGTTCTTTGTTTCTCTATTGATTTATTTCTATGTATTATAATTATAAACATATCTATATATTAATTAGATCTATTTCATTACAAATGTCATTTATTAGACCAGCTGTAAGAACACAAAAAGGAAAATATTTTAGAAATCTGTCAAAGACGTAAATAACTGGTTTCACACCCGCCACATTGGAGTTCTCTGAGAAGCCAGAAATCAATCAAGCTTAATATTCAACGACTCACGTTTTTCATTTCTTTTCAGGAATACAAATAAATATGTGTCATTTTTGTATCTTAATTAAATAAACAAAATTTAAAAAATTCAGCTTTGTTGAAAAACAGTAAATTTAAAATGAAAAAATAACAATAATTAGAATTAAAAATATTATATTTTGAAATCTAATTTCACATATTGTGAACACTTGCAGGTGGATTAACATCACACAAACAAAAACAATGACTCTCAGCTGTCCTATTGGCTGAGGGTGTATTTAACTCATTAAGGCCTGTATGTCCATAATTACATTACAGCCCTGCAAAATCAATAGAATTATTTTACTTCTCAGGCTGAATGAGATGCTTGTTTTTAAAATGAAATATTAAATCCTATAATAATAAAATCAAACAGACATTCTCCAGTGGAGATCCTGATCACAGGACCTTTCATCAGATACTGATTGTTGTGTGAGTGTTTTTTAAGATTTGTTGTAATGATTAATAATCCAGTAATATTCTTCATACAGCTGAAGATTCACATTTGCATAAGCTTCTATATAAACTTCTATTCACCAGAATTATAAATATTTAAAAACAAGCCAAATCACCCACATCTAAAGAACAGTAATGACTATATCACCCTAAATGTTAAGCTGTAGATTAAGGGTGTTGTGCACACACAAACATGTGCTGCAGTATTAAACACACCCTCAGAGACAAAGCAGCACTGTCAGATTGTACAACAAGCAGCAAGGAGCGCTCAAATTAACCTGCTGATCCAGCTGCAGCGAGTCTCCTGGTGGCCTCCTCACAGACCTGTTTTGTGGAGTGAAGAGAAACGGTCACAGTATGTGCTCCTCACAGCCACACCACAATAAAGAATCAATACTCCACCGGAGGGTTTATAGGTCCCTGATGTTTCCTCAGACCCACAGAAAGAGAGGAGAGGGCACAGAGCGTGGTCTGGAAAAAATACAGAATGAAGGAAGTTCTAACAATTACCTCAGAGAGTAGGGGAGAAGAGCAAACTAACAGGGAGGAGTTAACGCTAGAAACAGAGAAGATTCAGCCGTTCTCTAGTTTTGCTTTAACCTAATATTTCATAAATGGTTTTAAAACAATCCCGACACCTCAGAGGAAGTTAGGGATTATGCTTTAAGAAATGATGCATTAATTACTTTTAACATAAGGACTTTAGATGATTATGTTCAAAATAGAAAAGGATAGATTTGATATATGTACAACACCGATGAAGACGTAATCTAATGTTTGTAATATTTTTATTTACATTATAATCACTACTACAGTGGGGCAAAAAAGTATTTAGTCAGCCACCGATTGTGCAAGTTCCCCCAC